TAGTTTATATGCTATAAAATCTAACACACTTATATATGGAGAAAATTTAATGATACTACAGTATGATATGAAGTATATATAGTGTTTGTGGCCAGAAGGCTGTGAAGCTACTACAAAAGTGCACAACGCCCATATCTATATGACCTATCTATACACACACACACGTATCAAGATAAAAAAGTTTAATTCATTGTCTCAATTCATTGTTAAATATTNTTTAAAGAAAAGGAGTAACAGCTCGTGCTTTGCCTTCTCAAAAGCATTTATAACAACAATTTTGTTTTTAATTTTTTTTTCATTATCTATTTATGTAACTATATTTTTACATTATTAAGTTGTCAGTTACTTATTTAAAAGAGGCTTGGATGAGTGCATAAATTATTGTTTTAAAAGATTCAGGGTTTTATTTAGCTATACGATAGTTATGAAGGACCATTTATTGAGGATCCTACCTTTTAAAACTTTTCATTGGATGGGAGGTAAGATTCAATAACTTCGTTGAGATCTTGGTTTCTAAAAGTTGCTTTTATTGATACCTAAGTTCAAATGTAAGATTATGCTTAGTGGTAGAAATTAAATAGGCTGTAAGTTTTTTAAAAACCTTTAGCAGATGGTAGTTCAGAAAGAGGGTCAAACTGAAAATGGGCAGAGATTAAATATCATTTGAGGGCTGTCCAGTTAGCTCAATTGGTTAGAGCATGGTGCTAATAAGACCAAGGTGCAGGGTTCCATCCCTGTACAAGCCAGCCGCAAAAGCAAAACAAAGAAAAAAGAAATTATATATCGTTTGGAAAAGGGATTTTCTAAATTGCAGCCAGGAAGTTTCTGGAATTTGCTGAAAGTTATATTTGTCTAGGAAAGAAAAAAAATGAAAATATTAGATTCGATGTAAAATGTTTACAGAATAATTTAATCTATTTATTATGTAAATTCCAAGTACCATTACAGCAGCATATAATGGATCAAAATTAAACTCTATCTTCCAGGCTAATTCAGGAAGAAAAAGAATCTACAGAGTTGCGTGCTGAAGAAATTGAGAATAGAGTGGCTAGTGTGAGCCTGGAAGGTCTGAATCTGGCGAGGGTCCACCCGGGAACCTCCATCACTGCCTCTGTCACAGCTTCGTCGCTGGCCAGTTCATCTCCCCCCAGTGGCCACTCCACGCCAAAACTCACTCCGCGAAGCCCTGCAAGGGAAATGGATCGCATGGGAGTTATGACCCTGGTATGATGACATGTGCAGAAAATTTTTGACCCCTTTAACATTAATGATGCATTAGCTAAAACTTACTGAGTGCTTGTTCTAGTCTAAGAACTTTCTGTGTATTTTATTGTTTCTTTCTTTCTTCCCCTTCCCACCCCAAGCAACCTTATGTGGTAGGTACAATTATTAATCCCATTATAAAATGAGGAAAGGGTAGCCCCCGGTGGTGGTGTAACTTTCTCAAGGTCACATAGTAAGTCATTGGAAACAGGGATCTAAATATCACATTAGAAACCTGATGCCTTGTTTGCTTGTTTGTTTAAGCATGTACTCGAAATTTATTTTATTGATGTCATCAGCCACAAAAAGCAACAGCAGCAGTTTCCTAATTTTGTTTTAGATTTCATGTCAACATTTTCACATTTATTCCTTAATTCTTTATTTCATGTATCTTTATATTTGATATTTAAAGTTGAAAGCCTAAATTTAAAAGTCCCCTGGGGCCGGCCCGGTGGCGCACTGCTAAACTGCGCCGCTTGGGAAGCGCGGTGGTGCTCCCGCCGAGGGTTCGGATCCCACATACAGACCG